TTTTTTTTTTTTTTTTTTTTTGGTATATCCGGAGCTTTAACTCTGGATAGGACTGGTCGAAGGGCGGTGAGAACGGTGCGACCACACAAGGCTGGTGATCTTGCATGACCCAACTCCTGCGAAATTTAAAAATTGACCATTTCATTATTCGCTAATTTAATTAACTTTCGGATATAACGAATGGTATGGTTACCAACAAAATAATATTTTGTTGGTCCGTTGATCGAAACTGTTTTATTATTATTAAAAGATCCTAAAGGACAATTTTGCATCACGAATGCTTTTCCTTGGACCGGCCCTGACTCTGGATATAACAAAGTAGCATTTAAAATAACGTCGTATGCTTGAAAGCTGCAATTTATAATATTTTGTCAGTCCAATTTTCAATAAAAACAGTATAGTGATAAGCCCTTCATTTCGCCGGCCGGATGGCCGAGCGGTTAAGGTAGCAGTCTACCGCTCTGGGGGACCCGGTATCGAATCCTGACGGGTCGAAATATCCGCAGGAATATTTTGGGGGTGGTCCGTCCGGATATGTCTAATCCTCATCCCTCACCACCCGATTGTGGGCCCGGCCAATCCCATAATGGGCTTGCTAAAAGAGGCACTCTTAGTGCCCACTTGACCGCTCGGCCATCCAGCCGTCATCAAGGAGGTGTTCAGTGTGCTATTTCAATGTCGGGACTGACATATTGAAGTACCTGAAAGTGTCTGCCCAGATACCTTTCTGATGGAGCGTGGGACACATTGAGGTGACACAACCGATACCAAGACAAACATTAGGAGATAAATTTTGCAAAGTTTGTAAAACGTTCATATTTTCTGGTAATTTATTATGCATTTTTAAAATTAATGTTTGCAAAAGTTCAAAACATCTCTGCTTTAAATTATTTTTATCATGATCACTTATATTGGTGCCTTATAATTCTTCTAAGAAAACTATACCTTAATCAATAGAATTCAAATTAAGAAAGGCTAAGTTATTGTTTACAGTTGCCTGAATTTTTTAAAGTTGAATATTAATATCGCTTTCTTCATACAAAAACAAGTTTTAGCATTTTTCTAACTACAGATAGGAAAATAGAATATTTTCGAAGAATTTCACAGAAGTGGCCTTTATAAGCTGAAATAAATTTGTCGTATTCATATCTACAGGAAGTAAAAAGGCAAAGTAAAAAGCTGTTATGGAAAGGCTTTAACAGACAAGAAAATTAAAGATATAATAATAATGAAATTAAAGTTTCTTTAATAATAAAATAGTACAGTATTTTATGAATATTTTATAAGTTTAAATGCAATATTAATAATTACAAATAATTTTCAAATACATTAAAAAATTTTTAAAATCTTAATTCATCAACGTTTTTAAAATAATTCTTTCTTGCGATAATTACTCTCAAATAATTATATTTTGTATTAATTTAAAATATTTAAGAAATTTTTGATAAATGATTAAAAACAATTACAACGGTGGCGCCATATAACGGGTAAAGAAAGAAGTAACGTTGCTTTATTTTCAAAGGCTTAATATCTGTTCATGAAAACGATCATGTTTATTCGTTACATAAAAAATTTTTTAATATTGCAATATTTATAGTAAATACTTTCGAAAATGTTCTTTTTTACACACATGATTGATATTTACAAGTTTTTATTGTATGAATGAACAGATGCTAAATTTATCGAAAACCAAACAGACGATAATAAACATTACGTTTTAGCAGTAAATTAAGTTTATATTTATCGTATGAAAGGCAGAAGACCATTTTATTTTTATATTTACTTACCCAAAACAGTAATCTTTTCGTACTGGTATCGAGAGTGTAGGAGTTAAGATGGCGACGAACGACGATGAACCAATGCATTTGTACGAAGTGTTTCAGAATTGTTTCAACAAAATCGCAAATAAACAACCAGGTAAGTCAACGTGAAAGTTTATTGAAGTATACATTATAATAGTATTGTAATATTACCGCTCCTATAGCTTTGTTATCTCTTATGATTGATGATCAATTTAAGCCTCGTTTCAGGCTTAACTCAAATCGCGATTTGTTTAGAATTTCTGGACCAAGTTTAACAAGAAATTTCTGAAATTATTTACTATAATTTTAACTAAATGAAAGTTTCAAAAATGACGTGGACAATGGTCATTTTATATATACAAATCAAGATCATTGTGTTTGGCTTGCTGCCAGATCAGGAAAACTCTTTCATATCTTTGTCCCTTCTTTGATAATTATAAAGGAATAGTTTTGAAAATTTCTTTTTATTATTATAATTTCAATTAGAGAATTAACTACGTTTTCTCGTTTATTTCATCAGTTTTCATTTCTATATTTACTAATTTCATTAAATGTCTAAAATGGTATGCAATTGTTTTGAATGATTGCTCCTAACTATTGAAAATATGTTAGTAATAAAATCACTTTTAACATCAGTCTGTTTATAAAGACGTTTTTACAATAAAAGTGTATATATATATATATATATATATATACTTGATGAATGTTTTAAGTTCTTAATAATTTGATATATATAAATATACAATACATTATATATATATATATTACTAATATGTGTATGATGTGTATTTATATTTTAACATGGTCAAAATCTTCATATTTAATAAATAAGTTTTCTTTTTATATAAGCCAGCTGTAATTTACAATTATTTAGTTTGTTGGTAGACAATTAAATATTTATGTATCACCTGATGAATTTTTTAAAGTGAATTTGACTTTTGGAATAGAGTAAACATTTTGGTAAACCTTTAAATTTTTGTTTACAGAATTTTTCTGTTAATAGTGATTTATACTTCTCAATTGAAAATTTTAAATAGTTAATGTTTAAAGCAATACTGAACTTATTTTAAAGGAGTGGCTAACTCAAGCTGTTGAATTAGTTGGTATATAAGAATGATGACTGGAAGAAATTATTTGATGATTTTTCAAATGATCATATTGAAGAATAAATTGAATCATAGTAGTAGTGTGATTACAAAAGCATAGATTAGAATTGATTATAAATAATAACAATAATCTTAAAAAAAGAAACACAACTTATTTGACATTATCTAAATTATTGTTTCGATTTTATTATAAACTATGAAAAGTTTTATTCAGATTTCATGATGAAGGTTATCAAGTTTACAAGAGAAATAGTATATTTAATATTGTATATTTAAAAAGAATTGAATAAAACAAAAATTCTTATTTTTTGCAAAAATGAAATTGTTATTATTTTAATACTGAATGTTGTTTTATATTTACATTTTTATAGAGATGGTTGATTATCATTTTTTCAGATTTGAATATTAACCAGAGCTTGTATGTTTGAATATTTCAAATAATTAAATGCCTTGAATACTTAGTGAACTTAATTACCTCATATAAGTTATCAAGTTAAATAATAAATATTAAATAAAATTATTAACTTGTTTTATTTATTTCTATATATTAATAAATTGATAAAATAAAACAAAAAGTAAAAAGAAAAACAATTTACTGAATTTTAGTAAATGAAACTTCAAAGTTTTTATTTTAACTTAGAATTTTACTATACCTTTTAGTACTGTTATCTCAACTACAATAGATTTATCAATGATTGTACTTACTTTCACCAACTGCAGATTTTTATTTATGAAAGGAAGTGTTCAAACATATTCAGGATCTAGTCTGCTACTTGTGACAAATTAAATCAGAAGTGCTGAAGACAGGTTGCCAGATTAGAGTTTTTTTTCCTCAAAATTAAAATTTTTTTCCTAGTTTTCAACTCAACTAGGAAAAAAATGGGGAAGAGGTGTTAGTGGGGGAAGTTTATATCTCAAAGTGGAAATTGGGAAATAAAAACTTTTTTATTAAAACTTATTATATTATTATTATTATTATTATTAAAAATTCCTAAACTGTCTTATTGCATCCCATGTGTTATTATTTTGTCTAAATAGAGAAAATTCCAGTTAAGCTTGTTAAAATATCTATAGCTCTATCAAGATGCTGTTATATGATTTTATAACAACATCTTGATATAATCAAAAATATATAAATGTAAGAAGTATGATCACATTGACTTTGCCTTTAATCTTACATATTTCTTAATTCTGCTAATTTATTATGTATATTTGCTTTTTTATAAAATAAAAATTTTTGTTTGTTGTAATAGAAAAATTTTTAACTAAAAGAATATTATTAAAATGTTCAGATATGGTTAATATTTCAAAAACATTAATAATTCTTTTGTTAAATTCTTCGTTTTCTGTATTAGTGATTATTGCAAATTTTTAAAATTAAGAACTGATTTATAAATAATAATGCACTTTTAAAATCAATTTTTCAAAAATAGTTCCTCAAAAAATTGATGAAACTTCATGGGTTAATTCTACAGAAATAACCATAGTGTTTTTGCCTGGACCGCATTTAATCAGAGACAATAGCTTATCTTTGTATTCTTTATTTTCTTACTTACTATGCATTTCGGGTGCAATATTTTCGTATCACTTGCACCCCTCTTCAGGTTTTTTTTACATTTCTATATATTGGTAAATTTAATTATTACATTTGATATATATATATATATATATATATCTATTACTTATAGCAAATAATACACTTACTAAAATAAATCAATTAAAATTGTTTCATTAGTTATTTAATGCGAGTATGCAAAAACTTGTGTAAAAAGTTGTTAAGTATAATTTTTCAAGTTAAAAGTTACTTAAAGTAAATATGTTTCATTTCAATTAACATTTAACTTGATTTATAAATATTTCTTTTAATATAAAATATTTCACTATGTTCAACATGGTTTAAGTGAAGACATTTTAGTCTTTCTACATACTTTTTTATTGATTTTATAAAGTTTTATATGATTCTCCATAATAATTAAATAAATATATACAATTATAGTCAAGTATCTAATTATTAATTTGATATTATCAATTAAAAATATCTGAAAAATTTAGTGAAGATATAACATAGCAGGTGAAATTTAAGAATTTATATATTCTTGAAGTATGATACATGAACATATTACATAAATACAGTATTTGGTTTGTCATTATCATAATATGCTCGTAAAATGAAAGAAAAGAGTATGATAATTGTATTAGGATTTTAAAATGAAATAATATGTTTATCCTTCTTCCAACTAGTTTATATAACATTAGGAATCTTACATATTTTCAAATTATGAAATAGAACAAGTCATTATGTGAAAATTCAATAAATAATTCTTCAAATAAACATTTTAATAAAAAGTTATGAGTATTGAAAATATCAAAATTGTATCTGTAATATTGATATTATTGTGGAGAATTTTTTCAATAAAATTTCATAATTTGGGGAAATTTTGCAGAAACTTTGGGGATAATTGACTCTATCTAGCTTGTGACTCTATCTGGCAACTCTGGCTAAACAGGTACTATCTGTATGTATGGTGTGATTTTAGAGGTATTTATAGTATTTGAGTTATTTTTATCAATGGGATATTCAAAGACCTTGAATACTTTAATATTTTCTAATATTTGTATGTTTGCTGATAGTATTTGCTCATCTCTAGTTTTTATGAAAGTGGTTAATGAATATATATATGTTTTTTTTTTGTGTTTAAAACAACATTCATTACTTTTAATTATCTCAATAAGTTGTAATATTTGATGATTGATTTTCAATATAATTAAACTATTGGGTTGATGCAAAAGTTTCTGAAATTTTCTAGACCTCTATAGAATATTCAAAATTGTTCTCTGACAGATAGCTCTACAAATTTTGGGCCCACCACTGCCAAATAGTTTCTCTGAACACTGGAAGTTTGGTTGTGGGTTTGTGCCTCTCCAGAACGGGCTGGCCACATGGAGTTTTCTGGGTTTTCTCTGCCTGAATAGGGGCCAGTTACCCTTAAAAAGACCTCCCGGAAGGCATCCTTCTAGGCAGATTTCCCAAGTGTTGTGTTGCCGTAACTTAACAAAACAAACAATCTACAAATTTCTTGTAGGATATGTAAATGAAGGGTGTTGTGGTGCACAATCATAAATGAAAAGATATTCTGTGTGGCATTGTCAACTTTTTAAATATATCAAGTTTGCCAATGCTTTCTTGTAATCAAATTTACACATGCGCATTTTATGATTATCAATTTGGTATAAAAACAGCTGAATCTTATTGCTGTATGGTACAATTGTTTGACAAGAATGTTGTTTCCAAGTTCACAGTCTACAATTGGTTCAGTATATTTAAAGCCAGATATTATGAAGCTGAAGATAAGTCATGCCCAGGAAGCCCTTCTGTCCTATTGGATGATGAATTACAGCAGTTATTAGAAGTCAACCAATGCCTGACTGTGTGAGAAATGAGCAAGACACTTGCTTGACTAGTCCACTAAAGTTATTCATTTACCCTGTCACTGGAAAGGTCTGCAAGATCAACATTTGGTTTACTCACAGTCTTAATGCAAGACCACACATATCAAGGTTGATCTGGCAGAAGCTGCTTGGTCTCTGCTGAGAGGTTCTCCTTCATCCTTTTGCATAATCCAGATATTACATCATCCAACTAGCATCTCTTTCACTGCATGCATCACTTCTTGGATGGAAAACAGTTTGTTGGTGATGATGAGATGAAAATTGCACTTGCAAAGTTCTTTGAGTCAAAACAGCTGGAGTTTTATTCAGCAGGAATTCACGACCTGCCCAATTGATAGAAGAAAGTGCTTGAATATAATGCTAATTATTTTCTTGTATAAACTATTTTTTGTTCATGAAATAAAGGTTGTACTATAAAACTTTAGAGAATTCCAGAAACTTTTGCATCAAGCCAATAAATATATAGATGCATGATTTTGAATATAATTTTTATGAAGAGTTAAAATAATAATTATTATGGATGTATTGGAATTAAATATTGAAAGTTTAATCATAATTA